ATACAGTGGAGCATCGTTTATACGACGATCACTTATACGACGTTTACATTTATACGACGTTTTAGTGTGGTCCCAAATCATTCCTATTCATTTTAATGTAAAAATATATCGTTTATACGACGCACAGAATCGGTTATACGTCGATTTTTAGATTTTGTTCTTTATTTAATTTTTTATTTTTTCTTGTGTATTTTAAAAAAGGGCGGAATTTGCCAACATGAATGATACAGAAAAGGGTGTCAACAAGAATGCTTGGATGTCGACCACAATTTTTACTAGATGACTGAAAAAACTTGACAATGTTATGAAGAAGGAAAAACGAAAAATTTTGCTATTCATCGACCAATGTCCAGCGCACCCATCGATACTAATTATTTCGGAAAATGTTAAAGCTCCCTTTTTTCCTGCAAATTGCACAAGTGCGCTTCAGCCATTAGATTTGGCAGTGATTGGAAATCTAAAATTGCATCATAGAAAGCAGTAAGTTCAACTCGCTATTCAAAGCATTGTAGAGACTAATAGCAGGAAAATATAATTAAAGGTAACATACATTCAAATTGCTCACTGCAATTTTTCTTCTTTGGTTATTTGTTTGTTTTGCTTTGTCTAATTTAGAAATTTATGTAAATCAACACGTTAAACATTAAAATTAACTGAAAACAGAGTTAGTTTCAGTTTTAGAAGTTAAAATCGATTATACGACGTTTTTCGGTGGTCCCTTCGGCGTCGTATAAACGATGCTCCACTGTATATATATATACATATATACAGTTTTCAATATTTTTTTAAATTTCTCAAAAAATATTTAAAGAATTATTTTGTAACATTAGAAGTGTTTAGGACACGCAATTTTTCATACTTATCAATAAGATTTAAAGCTTTCAGAGGTTGTTCAGAAGACCTACAATAAATTACAAACGAAAACAAATATTTTTTAACCTCCTATGCAAGAAAATTAAACAAAATCATGTATCTATTACTTTAGTTGTTATTTTTAATATCTGCATAAAATTTCATAAACTTAGAGTAAATATTTATGGAGATGTGGACATTTCTATAAAAAAGTCATTTTTTCGCCTTACGTTTTTTGCTATAACTTCATAAATAATCAATGGAATTGAACAAAATTTTTTGAGAAATTTAAGATTAATCACAACATTTCTTGAAAATTTTAAAAAATTCGCTAAAAACTGCGCAAGATATAAGTATTTAAGATATACTCTTTAGTACTGTACATGCACAGTAAAAACTTAAAAAAGTCTTTCATAATTTTATATGGAATCATATTTGGCAACTAATAATGAAAGCTTTATTTGAATATCTTAAAAATTGAAAAAGTTTCAAGCAATTTTCTAAGTAATTTTTGCACTTTTTAAAAGAATGATCAAAACGATAAGAGTTAAACCACAATATTTGTCTTGTACTATTAAACAATTTATTAGAAAGGAGACCAGTATTGAGGGGGAGCACCTCCATAAAAGTTTGTTCTCTTTTGCATGTTTTCTTTCTCTATACTATCAAAGTTTAGTTTTCGGACGATTATTGTAAGGAGTAAGGTAAGTCATTTGTTATTAAATTTTGACTTATGATACAAAATACAATTTGTGGAAAACCCCTGATCGTTTTCAGTTTTGTAGTGAAAAGTACAAAAACTACTTAGTAAATTGCTTGAAACTTTTTAAATTTTTAGGACATTAAAACCAATTTTTTATATTAGTTGCCAAATACGATTCACTACAAAATTATTAAAAAAGTTTTTCAGTGTACATGCAGTTTAAAAGAGCTAGAGTAAATACTCATAACTTGTGCAGTTCTTTTTTAAAAAATTTAAAAAAAATTTTTACAATTTTAAATCAACAAATTTGCAGTTAATCTTAAATTGCTTCAAAAATGTTGTTTAATTCATTTAAATGCCTATAAAGTTAGAACAGATAAATGTTAATCAAAAAATTATTTTATAAAAATATCCATATCTCCATAAACATTTACACTAGGTTTACGAAACTTTATGCAGTTATTAAAAATAACAACTCAAGTAATCGATACAAGTTACAAGCTTATTGCTTAATAACTTGATATAGGGTTTTCACAAATACTTTTTTCTTTCGTAATTTATTGTCTCTCTCCCAAATCTCTGAAAGCTTCAAATTTTATTTCTAAGCATGAAAAATGACATGAACTAAACATCTCTAAAGTTACAAAATAATCCTTTAAGTATTTCTGTAGAAATTTTAAAAAATATAAAAAAACTGAAAGAGTCACTTCCATTATTCTAGGTAGCGTATTTTTCTATTTTCTGGCCAAAAATCGCATTACACCTTATTCCCCTCCTCCCCCCAAAAAAGAAACTAAATTCCCGGATAATTCTAGGTTTCCCTGATATATTCATGGTATTCAGTAATGACTACTATTAGCATACATTTTTCTGGAACTCCTGCAAAAAATAAAGTAAAAAAACTACACATATTAATATTTATGCGAGTTACATTTAATAAGTATTAAANCCCCCCCCCCAAAAAAAAAGAAACTAAATTTCCGGATAATTCTAGGTTTTCAAGGTTTCCCTGATATATTCATGGTATTCGGTAATGACTACTATTAGCATATATTTTTCTGGAACCCCTGCAAAAAATAAAGTAAAAAAACTACACATATTAATATTTATGCGAGTTACATTTAATAAGTATTAAACGAGGGGAAAACAAAACCATGATCGAAATCTTATGAATTACTATTGAAAAGTGTGATAGAAAAACATCATAACCAATTTGATTGCTTGATTAAACCTACATAAATCTCTTCTCAACTTCAGTTTCTCTCTGCCATGTCATTATAAGTACATATTACATATTTCCTAGGTTTTGGATTGCATTTATTTCATAAATTTATATTCGTATTTAATTCTTAACCCCTTTCTCAATAAATATAACAGATAACTTATTGCTAAGTGTAGGCACACACATAAAACAACAGTCAAATTTATTTATTTTCAGATTCCTTTTTTTTTTTAACTTCTTACACATCAACACAAAAATTTCTGTTCTAAGATCCATTGGGGGTTTCCTAGTTCACAAAATTATTTAAAACAAATTATTTGCGTATTGATTGACTTTTGATAAATCACCAATAATAGATTTCTCCCCATATTCCAAAGCCCCAATAAACAGTCACTTATTTGTGCAAAAAGATATAGGTCTTTGCCTTTCCTTTCAGCCTGATACAAATTTTGGAATTTAAAATGATTAATAAATTTTTCATTTAGTAAATTAAAAAAACTAATTTGACCTTGACAGACTGTTTTCTGGTTGTCTGGGCCCTCATATTGGATGCAAGATATAAAAATAAATTTACAAAGAATATTAATAGAGGAAAAAAAACCTAATGTATGCGCAAATTATTTATGTTATTGAAATTTAATTCTCAATTACATATTGGAGTTCATCAAACTCAGTTTGATTATAAATCCAACTCAATTCATTACAAGAAGCAAAAAAATCCATTTTAGTGTTTTCAAAAGGAAGTGAGATTCTTAATTATTTCAATTGTCAACAAAAACACCCAACAGAACCTAGGTACTTAATTTAATAATGAAACTAAGCGTAAAAAAAAAACTTTTTTTGATAAAAAAAAAAGAAAAGAAACTTCACCTCTTTCAGGGCAAACACCTCACATTTTGAACAATTTTAAAATTTCCCTGCAGTCTCTTATCAATGAACTATTACATACAGGTTAGACAGATAATGTGGACAGAAAGTAATATGTTTGTTCTTAATGTTTGAGATGGTTGCTGATATAATATTTTATAAAATGATTGTTCAGTTTTGGATTACAATTATAAAATATCACAGTTTTGGATTATAGTGGGCTTTGATTATAAAAAGGAATATGGATTTTAAAATGAAAACTAAAGTACTTATCATGAATTTTCATTGATGTTTGGCAAAATACTGAAATTAACAACTGGTAAGATTACAAAAGAAATTTTATTTTCTGGCGGTAACGATGATTATTAATTTTTAAATTCTTGAACTCCCCTACCCCCCCCTCCCAAAAAAAAATACCCCAATCTTTCTATTAAGACCCAATAAGACTATTACACAAATTGAACAAATATGTCAGTTTTAAAAATAAAACTATTTGAGTAAAATTTGAATCCTGGTAAGATTACAAAAGAAATTTTATTTTCTGGCGGTAATGATGATTATTAATTTTTAAATTCTTGAACTCCCCTCCCCCCCAAAAAAATACCCCAATCTTTCTAAAGACTATTACACAAATTGAACAAATATGTCAGTTTTAAAAATAAAACTATTTGAATAAAATTTGAAATCCGTTTGATTTATTGCAGATGACCTAAGGAATACTAAATAGTATTGAAAAAAGAAGTTATGATAAATTTGGAGCTATTCTTTTTTATTTAGAATAAGCAGATAAAAAGAAAGCACAGATAAATTTGGAAACACTTAAAATTGCTAGTTTGTATTTGCTTAAAATTTGAATTGTGAATTGTTAGAAGAATTGCTTTAAATTGCTGGTTTCTCATTTTGACAAAACATGAATGAATAAAAGGAAATTTTTTGTATTATTATCACAATAGTGGGCTAAAACATGCATTGCATTTATACAACTTATTTTACATAAATGAACTCATTTTTAAGGGAAAAAATACTCCATTGCATTTCACACAACATGCTAAACGTAGAAACTACAAGTAGAGACAACATAAGCTATTAAAAAATTACAAAGAGGTGAAATGGAAAACAGTCTATACCTCCTCTCCCACTACCTCCTCCTCCACCTGATCTTTTTGACCAATTAGGCATTTCTTTATATGGTGTCTGTTCTTTAGGACGACCTCCTCTATCAGGAACCTATGCAATGATATTTGAACTATCTGAATAATAATTCATATTTTCATAATAATAATATAATTCATAATAATTCATACTATCTGAACTATTAAATAATAAAAAATAAAAAAAAGTTTAAAGTAACATGAATCAATCTAGTTATGGGTAATTTTCGAAATTAATAATTAGAAAAACTAAAATATCAGTTTAGAGGATTGTCGAACTTTCAGACACAATAGCAAATTGGACAATAAATATCATGTTGTTTACCCTTTTGTTTAAAACCTAGCTGTACAGAATCCTTCAATTAATAGCGTAGAAATTTCCTTTACATCAAAGGTTCTCAAGCTATGCACTACAAAGCACTTAGTGCTCTGCAAAAAATGTAAAATTTGTTTAAAATTAAAAAAAAAATGAAACATGCATTATTACTGAATGAAGCGAAATAAGATAAAATATTTTAATAAGAAATGTGTACAAGAAAAAGAAAAATCACCATTCAAATGAAATATTGTCTACTAGACAATATGATCGGAATCTCAACAAATCATAATCCAGTGTTGCAAACTAGAGCACAACAACTCTTTTCATCAAACTTGTGTTTAACAAAACCAAGTAAATTTTTTAACATATGTAATAAAATCAAAATTATAAAAAAAAAAACGATATTTGGCTTACATTTATTTTTAATATTTTTCATGTTTGCTTTTGCTATCTGTAGTGGGAAACAAGTCTAAAAATAAACATCTTAAAATGATCAAATTCAATGTCTTGCAAGCTTAAGAGGTCTCTACCCTCACCATCTTGGATTCTAGATCAAATTTTTAATTTGTATAAATATTTTTTGTACTTAGCAAACTTTTGATGATTTAGTATTGTTAGACAGCACAATATCTCTCAAAAAAGGTAGAAAATAAATAAAGTTGCTTCATTAGATTAGGAGAAATAGCGCTTGATAGTTTTTAGAACTTCTATTAATTTTTTCTCAAAGCTTAAAAGCAATAAAATGGGGAAATTTACGGCTTTGAGTAAGTAATTTGAAATTACATGTTCATCAGTTTTCAGATTTTTTAAAATCTAATTCTATTGCGGTTTTAAATGAAGAAAAGAGATTTGGAGAATGTTAAAAATTTCTTTTAACGTTAAATACACGAAAATAAAGATACTTATCAAAATTCTAAAAACTAATAACTGTATACTATTTATATATCTTTCAAAAATTGTGGATTGCAGAATTGTATTGGTGTAATTTTGTGAGAAAAAATTAATAGAGAATCTAAAATACTGCATGCTTTATATCTCAAATTCTGATTGGGTGAAAGTTTTATACTTTATATGCATCAAAGGATAAGGCCGAATTGAGTAAATATCCACCATCAGTTTAGTTGTTGAAATTAAATAAAAAGAATTAAAAGCATATTTAGAATTTTCCCTACCCATCTCTACCCCTTTGACAGTTGAGTTCGCTCGAGAGAGGGCTTCTTAAGTGGCTGAATGACTTTGCATCATTAATGCCATTCTGTAATCCAGTTTTTAAATGCAGTATATAGTGTCCAAATAGAGTTTAATGCCATGTAGAATTTTAAAAGTTCTCCACAAACAAAAAAGTTTGAGAACCTCTAATTTAAGCAATACTGAAAGATAAGAATATTAACAATACAATATGGTACAATATTAGGAACTTAATTAAACTATTAAATGTGAATCAATATCTTTAAAATATATTTAATAAAAAAAAACAGTTTAAAATTAGCTGGTTGTATTTTTCCTGTCTTAAACTGTACAAATCAAGATATTATAGGGCAGTTATGAAAAAGAGTAACCAGTTTGGAAATTCGCAAACACTATGACATTAAAATATATATTTCCTGATTTTTTAATTATTCAAACCATTATAAATTTATAATACAAAATTTTAACAGATACTATTTCAGTTTTTACAATGTATCTATATAATTATATATTTCATAATTTTATTAATATCTGAAAAATCTTAATCTTTAATTAATATCCTAGCAGGTACCAATTAAAGAGTAAAAATTAAATATTAATAAAGAATATGGTTAGATATTTTTTTATTAACAATTAGTAGATTTGAACTTTTAATTATGTAAATTATTTTCAGAATTACAGATTTAGGACACTTATACTTTTGGCAGTTTCAGACAGGATATCCTATATACTGCCCTGTCCACTCACTTATACTCATTTTTAAACAAAGACATTATAGTAATACAAATAACAAATTCACTGAAAAAAAAATGCTCAATTTCTATAATTTAATTTATTAGTGTCTTTAAAATCTACATTTGTAGCTATCCCTTAATCATAAGCATGGACAAATCTCTTATAACTTGTTTGACAGATAATGGAAAGTATTCTATTAGCTGTTATAAAAAGGTATAAAAGTCGAATGTGACTAAACTGCACTAAGTTTAACGTTAAAAAAATAGGATATTATGTCTTCGAGAAAAATACTAGTGTCATCTTCACCATTTAATGACTATGTCTGATGTAAAAACAGGAAAAATAACAAGAAAACAATCAGTAGCAAATTTGGCCAAATGCATGATTTGATTTATCAGCACAAGAGTAACTGTAAAACTGAAGATACAGAACTTATAATAATTTGTATTTAAGGTTAAAAAAACATGCAAGAACTTATATTTGATAATAAAAAAGTAACAAATTGTGTAAGAACTTATATTTGATAATGAAACAAATCAGAGAAGAAAAAAATGAGACAAAAGGGGAGGAAGATTCGATTGATTGTGGAACACATATTTTTCTAAAAAATATGGACTCTCTGAGATTCAGAGAAGAATATATAAAACAGCCATTGGCTTTTGAAAAGAGTGAATAGTTAAAAATGAAAAAATAAAAATACTTCCTATTTGCTGTAAATCTCATCAATTAACAGCAGATTAAGCTGAAACACAGTAGATTATGTGCAATTTAACGATAACCATAAAAATATTTTCTTCCATGCCACATTTTGAAGACACACAATGTTTATAGTACTTTAAGACAGAAATTTTTAAGCCAGTTAAATCACAGGAAAAAATAATAACAAACAAGTATAATTGTAAATTACAATAATTAGCCACATTCCTTTGAAGACGAAGAAAGAAACCGCAAAACATTTGTTATATTACATTATACATTATTCGTTCAACTATAGCGTCTTAAAAATAACTGGTTAAGATAGGCATGAAATAAAAAAACATATCACAAGATCTTTTATTTGGATTTAAGGTTTATACTAATCCAATAGGGGTATTTCAATCTATTTTCGCTTTGTTGATGTGTTGATTGTGTTGTCACATAAATGTGTTTTTATAAAAATAAAAAAAAAACTGTTTCTTTAATATAGCTGTATTCACTACACTGGGCAAATAAATGTAAGTAGTTCATATTGCATACGTAAAAAGCTCACTTAAAAGCATAAATGCATATTAAAATTGCATGAATTTAAAAAATTTATTCACTTAAATAAAGTTATCGTGAAAAATAATTACAATTCAGCTGTTGGCCATTACAAGTAGAACCAGGTAAGTGTTCAAAATGTGAGTTTTAAAATTTTTGTGCTAACAAATACTTGTAGCTAAAGATAAAATATATAAATATTTAACTCTTTTAAATATTTAAAAACAATACTAAAAAATGAAACCTATAAACATTAAAAACTCTTTTTTAATCTGAATTTTACCGGCAAAGCTAATAATTTTTTTAAAAACTAATGCAAATGATTTTTAAAAAAACTTCCATCTCCAATTATATTATCAGAATTAATAAAAAAAGAAGTTTGTTACAAAGCATTGTAATACAAAGTTTTTCACAAAAATTCCAGATTATTGTCAGTAAATGAAACTAAAAAAAATAGATCGATAATTATAAAACGTAACATGAAAACGTAACTATAAAAATTAAAAACTCTTTCTTAATCTGAATTTCACCGGCAAAGCCAATAATTTTTTTAAAAAACTAATACGAATGATTTTCAAAAAAGATAGAAGTTTTTTGAAAATCATTCGTATTAGTTTTTTAAAAAACTTCTATCTCCAATTATATTATTAAAATTAATAAAAAAAGAAGTTTGTTGCAAAGCATTGTAATACAAAGATTTTCACAAAAAATCCAGATTATTGTCAGTAAATGAAACTAAAAAAAAATAGATCTATAATTATAAAACGTAACATGAAAAGTAATAGAGATCCAATTCATATTCAAAAATGAATTACAGTTTAAAGATGTCTCATTCAATGTGGGTATTCCAAAAACTGGTAAATGCTCAACCTTCACTTATTATTCATAAACCATTTACTACTTACAAAACCATTGCTCAAACAATTTACTTTAAATATTCATAAAGATGTTTATATTTATTGTCAAATAACTTTTATTATTTACCAATAGTGGTAACTTTTCCTACAACACAAGCTCAATTTTTATGAAAAAAAATTCATTGTTTTTGTGGCCTTTGAGGGGGCTAAAAAGGTTTTGGCTAATAATTTTCCAATTCAATAATTTTAGAATTTTTTTTCGCAAAACTAAAAAAAAATTGCTATTATTTGCTTCATCAGAAAAGTTTAAAGTGGAAGGAGAAAAAAAAAACACTCCATTTTGGTTTTCTTATTTTCTAATTTTTCTTTTAAATTGAGGCAGAATTTGATTTGAATACTTACTGTTTTTTTTTTAAATATAAATTTATATTTAAATAGATATATCCAAAAATTTTAGCTGAAAATTGTTACATTAGTTTGCAAAATAATTTTGAAGGATCATTTCAGCTCCAGATAACTAAATATTCATCTAATAGACTATAATCCTAGCCACTTTTTCAAATTTGAGATATTTTCGTTGCATTTATGCTTCCTCACACATAATACTTTAATAACTAGTGAAATCAGTTATCCAAACGTAACAAACACAGCAGTACACGTTACTCCTAGAGCATTGCTGCAATCATCATCTAACAGTCGAATATTAAGTTCCATCAAAGTAAAATATTATAGATATTTTGAATATTGAAGAGCCTACGGAAGAGACAACTAAAAGTGCAGTGAGCAAACATATAATTCGTACACCTAAGAACCGCATGATGATAAAACATGTATACAACTACTGCAACAATGCTATTTGTGGAGAGCACACTTTTAATATCAGCCAAGAGAGCAAGTCATACTTTTTACCATATTTTTAATTGAAATAATATAATATTTTTTTATGTAGCTGAAATTATAAAAATGTACTTATTTTTAATTCCCAGTTTATTAGTCAAACGATTACAGGGTGCGTAGCCAAATCTTTGAATAAAAAATAAGCACTTTTTAAAAACTTTTCAAGCACTTTACAAAAATTTTCAATCACTCAAAAAATTCATATTCAATCAATGATATTATTGAAAAACAAAAACTTTTTATAAACAGTTTTAGCGTTAAAAAAAACCCAAAAAGAAACGGGCGTAAATCGAAACAATCAGTACTTTCCCACATCACCGAGTGAATTCAACTTGACCCTGAACTCAGAACAAAAGTACCCTTACCCCCTACGTCAAAAAAAGTGTTAGAAGTAAAATAAAATAAACAAGAACAAAATTAAAATAAATTAAAAAGAAAAACATTTCATAAGGATCTGATATTCTCTATCCGAATTGGAGCACTCGGGTTTCGGTTTCAAGTGTGCGCGCATGCGCAAGTCATAACGTGGGTACGACATGAAGTCCGCGTGAATGATTACGTAGCAAACTCCCCATTTTTCGTGAAATGCATGGGATCCACCAGATATCACTGAAAGGAAGAAAAAAAATTATTCGGAAAAAAAGCACTTTTTAAAAACGCCAGCTGAAAAAAGCACCTTTAAAAGCTTTTAAAAACGAAATCCCCCAAAAAGCACCTTTAAGTACTTTTTACAAACGCTACGCACCCTGGATTAGTTACAGAGAAACACTGATTCAAGTTTAGTTATTTAGGTCATTTCATAAAAGAAAAAAACACCTTTTTTACTTTATTTCCTTTTTTTTCTTCAAGTTTCATGCTTTTAGAAACAATGGAATTAAAATTGACTTCTTCTTAATTTTTTTTATTTTACCTTTTTAATAGTTGAACAATATTTTAATAGAATATTTTACAACAATTTTGCAGCAATTTATGGACAAAAATCATAACAATTACACTCATCAAATACAAATGCATAGATTAAAAATTTCAACTAAAAGTATACTTACAGCATTTATAAGAACTCTATTAACAGATGATTTAGTATTTTTCACAAGATTTGCACTGCTTGTTTTTTCAATGATGAATATATCTAGGTTTATAAAAAGTAAATAAATAGGGTGCTTAGAAAAAGGCTTTATGTTTGAATCATCATAAATATTATTACTGGTGTTTTGATAAGAAAAGATGTCTAAATTTTTTAATAAGGCAGAGTGTAGCACAATTTTTTCACTTACTAAAGTAAACTTTGCACACCAATTTTATTTATTTTCCTCTCAATCGCATTGATGTTTTACAGAAGAAAATAAATTTTATAACTAGACAGAGTGCAGCTTCTTATTTTTACTCATTCAGTTGAATATAGAACACTGATTTTTATTATTTAAAAAATTTTTTAAATCAACATTAAAACTATGAGAAAAATCACCCTTGGAAAATAATGAGTAATATTTTTTTCATATTTGTTTTTCTGAATACTGTGCATTATTTAACTCACTTTTTTTTCAATTATAGTGAAAACAAAGATAAATCTAACTCAACTCACAGCAATCTAGCAATGTATCTAATAAAGATTAACCCTAAAATTGTCGAGTTACTTTTGTAATTTTACAATTTTAACAAAACAGAGTTTCCCAATTAAATAACTATGCACAAATATATATTGAAGAAAGCAACAAGGTTGTACCGCAAACTCTATTGAAATTTAAAGCATCAAGCTGAATAATTAAGAATAAAAAGAAAAAATAATTACTACACACATCTATGAAATGAAGAATTTATTTATCAATTATTTTGTTATTCATTATAATGATCATCTACGATTTTTAATCAAGTGAATTGTGTTAACTTTAGCACAAACTGATAGCATGATTTATAGTCACTTTTTTAAAATACTTATTCAAACATTAAAGCAGGCTTAATGAGTATCCAAGAAAGAATAACTTTATTAACCCGTAAATGTGACACATTTGGGCTATATGCATTTGCAAGAGCCGATGTTAGCAATGAGCAAAGAGAAATTATCCTAATCTAAAACCCATGTTAAAAGGAGAGTTTTTTTAGATTCCTTTTCTAATGTAGTTGACCAATTAGTTTAGATACTTTCATATTCCAGAGTTTTCAATAAAAAAGAAAAGCTAAAATATTCTTTCCTTATCTTTTTTTCTACTTTTGAAAGCAAACATGAAAAAAAATCCACATAAAATCCCTTTAATTTTTCATATGCTGTCTTATCTTGTGTTAACATAACAACTCATATAAGAGCCTCTCACTGTACAGCTCAATTAATTTCACAAAACAAAAAATTAAAACCCAATGAAATAATGTGCATTATTTATTTATTTTTTAAATTTCCTTTATAAGATAAATGTTAAATAAAATATTTTGTTGTTTAGAGGTGTGATCTTTACAGGGGTGATTGTGAGTCCAAGTCAAAATTCCGGAAAATTTCTTGAGTTAAAAAAAAAAAAAAAAAACAGTTTAAATTTAAAAAAAATTTAAACAAGGTTTTTTTCCTTCTTCTCAATATTTCTAGTCTTACTTAAAATATATTGAAAATTTTACACATATCTATACCATTTACACATACACAGTTAACCTTAGTAAATTATTTAGGTGGCCAAAAAATGTGCAGCTTCCTATAATTGGCGCCTATTGAATGAAATCACAGCTACTGACACAGTGAACCAAAGCTACTTGTACTGGAGGTACACTCAGCTTGAGCAGCAAATGAGTGTCACTGTGCGAACACTGGACATTCTCGAATTGCCCTTTTATAGGTCTGATTGCCTTCCCTCGGAGCCTGGGCATACATTGAGAAACATTAATTAAGCATACCTATAGTAAACACAAAATCTGAATTACTATTTAGAAATTTTATTTACCTTCTCTAGCTGCTGCTAAATCAGATAATTTAACTGAAGGTTCTCTCTTTAATTTATTCCTTTTACGGACATAAGCACTCAAAATTTGTGATTCTTTGCCCTGAAAATTAAATATCGAAGAATAAGAAAGACAGATTTGAATGGGATTTTGAATGGGATGGCAAAATACTTAAAAAATGCACAAACAAATATCAAACTGTAATAAAAAACCCATGATTTTTAAATTAATATAATAATAGGAAATAAGACAGATATTTAATAGGAAATAAGACAGAATAAGTATTTAGCAATGTAATTTTAAAAATCAAAACTAAAATAATAAAGAAAAGTTTTTTAAAATTGTTTATAAAAATAATTTTCATTATTATTTATTTTTCATTATTATTCACAATAAAACTTATTTACATACCTTAGATTTATAGTATTTTCAGTATTTTTTTAGGACCCTTAAAGTTCGGAATTCAAGTTCATCAAGATTACATTAAGACTCAATTTTCTTTTTTTCCAAACATAGCAAATCGTACACAACTTAAAAAATTTACCTCATTTGAAAAATATATATATAACACAAAAGAGAAATAGCACATTAAAATTAAACAAATTTTTATTTAATAACAATAAATATTTTACAGCCTATTGAACATTTTTAAGTTAATACAGTAGAGAACCGATTATCCGGAACGATCGGGACTATCGCTATTCCGGATAACTGATTTTTCCGGTTTTCTGAATCGTTACAAAAAGCCGTTTTTTTAGTGTTAAACTCAATTAAAAAAAAATTTTTGAAATAATCTTAAAAATAAGAAAAAACGATGAGATAATACACTAATGATTATTTCTGAAATGATGGCAAGGTAAATCTTTCAAAAAAGAAAGAAAAATCCTAAAATCTTATGAGAAATTTTTTTTTTTTTAAAAAAACTGCGGGAACATTTATCAAATTTAAAATAGGAGCATGAATAATATACAGGAAAATACAGTTAAATTAAAGGGATAAAATATAATTTGTAATTTTTAAAGCCCAAAACAAAGTAAAAAAGGCATATATATATATATATATATATNGACCGAGCATTTCGTTCACTATATCCGGGAGTTCACTATAAGCCGTGTTCACTATAGCGGGGTTTGACTGTATATATATATACATATACGAAAAGTACTCAGCAAGGAAAAGTAACTTTTAAAATCAAAACTAAAATAATAAAGAAAATTTTTTTATAAAAATCTTTTTAAATATTATTCACAATAAAACTTATTTACACACATTAGATTTATTGTATCTTCAGAATTTTCTTAGGATCCCTAAAGTTTGGAATTAGACTCCATCAAGATTACATTAGGACTAAATTTTCTTCTTTTCCAAACATAGCAAATTTTACACAACTTAAAAAATTTACCTCATCTGCAAAATACATATATAAAGCAAACAAATGAAAAATAGCACAATAAAATTTTTGTTTAATACAAATAAAACATTTTACAGCATACTGAAGATCTTCGTTAATACTATTTGTAAAAGTTAAAATGCCTCATTTGTATCAGTTTCAGGCACTTCAATTGCAGTATTATATTAACTGATTAATAATTGAGACCTAAACATAAAAATTTCACCTATTTAATGCTAAAAATAGGTGCATGAATAATATATAGGAACATACAGTTAATTTAAACAGATAAAAAGTAAACTGTAATTTTTAAAGCCCAAAACAAAGAAATAAATGAAAACAAATATATTTTTGAATACAACAACTGTGTCCTTTGCTCACTATCTCTTAGAATCCCATGACCAAAAACTAACTTAATTCAATAATGTAAAAATTAGTTTGAATTTTTAAAAAAGACGCTTTTTCATAAAGACTTTTTTTATTTTTAGACTTAAGAATATGTGACTGCTAAAAATTATAACTTTACTGCAATTAGTTTTTCTTTTGCATCCAAATGTCTGAAAAACCATCAAGATAAACTAGCTAATTACTTCAAAATTATTTTTTTCCAAACTTTTAGCAAATTGAAACAGAGAGCTCATCTTCAGACATACAAAACATATGTAGTTTCAAAAAAAAATAAAAATAAATAAATAAAATAAAAAATCCTGCTAATAGTTATTTAAAATGAATTAAACGCCAATGAAAAAAATTTGACACAAAATAATTCAAAATTTAATGAATCCAAAAATAACATTTTCATATCAAAATGTTCCTTAAAATTTTCTCTAAAGGTGATAAAAATTTCATAGTCTTTAATTTAATAGTTTTAGCAACAGAAAAGTTAGTAACATTTAAAAATCATTATCAAAACTGTTTTTTTTCTTTTTTAAAATACAGAGAAAAAAGTACAGTATTTTTCAATTCATTATCACGTGGATTAAATTCTAAATGCTACATGACACACAATAATAGGATTATACACTCAATTGACATATATAGTCTTGACTAGCAAACAGAATGCTTGCAACTTTGAAGTAGTTGATCATAGTTACATAGTATTCAAATATACAAAGGAGCTTACAAAATCTAAGCAAGTAGGGAATATCAGGACTTAGAATATTTTCTTAACACAAAAAATATGCAGTGAGCCACAAAAGTTTAACACAGAGGAAATTTATCTATCATTTTAAAAAATATACACAATTATCTCAATGTTAATAAAATAAACAGATAAAATACAATCCAAAGTAAAAATAAAAAAAGGCAACAGCTAAAAAAATAAAATACAAAGAAATAAAATTCAAATTTTAATTCCCTCAAATACATTGATAATAAAATTGAAATACTTCCTTTACATTTTAAATATAAATAGTTTATTATAAATGACTGACAGTCAAAACATTAAAAAATAAATAATACCTTGCATCTATCACCCCATTTAAATGACTGAAGAGTAACATCTAAACGAGTTAACATCATTTCACGACGGATACTGTACTCTATAAACATATCTTGATAAAACTGTGTGAGGTTTGACCAATTATCTTCAGTTAGAGGTTCTTCTAAAGCTGGAGGTAATACTACATCAAGTTGTGAAGAAATCTTAGAAATAAAATAAAAACAAAATACATTAATAAAGTAAATTAACTATCAAAATAGTTAAAAAGTTTTTTTAATTAAATTCTAGAAAGTAACGTAAAGCAATAGTGGGATTACTAATGGGATTATAAAGGTTAAGACTCTAAAATTTCAAAATCAATGTGGTCAGTATTTCGCATTGTCACCATTTCTCAGGTAAGCTGGACTTCACCGGGGATTGAACCCTATTGCTTCACAATGAAGGTGCAGAGCCTTAACCATAATGTGGGACTCTATACTAGAAAGTTGTGAAACAAAAAGATAAGCAGGTGGATAGTGAACATTGCTAAGAAAATGCACTTTCTCTTAATGTGACATTTCTAGAAAATTTCATACTTCATAATTAGAATTTGGGTATAAAGGATTTAAAATTCCTTAAAAATAGTGAAAAATTATTTAAAAAAAACTCTCCAAAAAAATTGTTTTATAAATAAACAATAATATCAATCTGAAACATCATTTCTTTTCTAAATTTGCAAATGACATATATCAAATTAAAATATTTTGCAATCTTAAACATGAATGTTGTATTCAACAGGACACACACATAAATGTTTTACCTTTTCTTCTATTTGTGATAATAATGTTAATGGTTCCTCAACACAGTCAACTTTGATGTCTAAAACTTCTAGGACATCATTTACAGATGAAATTATATCATTCTCTTCCTTAAAAAAACAATGCAAAAGATGAAGCAGAAATGTTTTAATTTTAGTAACACATTACAATGATAAACAACAGTAAGATTAAAAGTTTTTTTTTCTTCCCCTTCAAGCTTCTAATTACAAGTTCAGTTTTAAACAAGATTTGAATTTGTGAAGGTTGTAAATAATTACACATAGTTTATGCAAATCTTTTACATGTTTTTAAACATGATTAGAAGTTAACAATATAATGAAAAACTTTATTTAGGAAAGAAGAAAAAAATCAGGACATTTTTTGGATTAGAATTCATGTACTAGGCTACAATTGAGAAAAGAAAACAACAAAAAATAATATAATTTGCTAAAAATAAAGCAAAATTTTATCACCAAAGAATGATAAAATATACCTTTTTCTTAGAACATCAAGATTTAACAGTTTCCAGTTTAATTCCATTAATTGAGAATTGGACAACTCATAATAGTTAGAGACCAATATATGTAAAATTTTTATTGTATTAAAAAATAAATAATACCAGTTAGTAAACCAATCTCTTAAATAAATTTGTAATCAAGTACTAAACTAATCTACTAATCTAGTACTTAGATAATTTCAAAGTAGGATTTCAATGATTTCGAAATGAAACACAGCGAATATGCTGCCGACCCTTTTTGCACAAAATTAATTTAGTGAATGATTCCCTCAATTCATTTAAAAATCAAATGAAAGAAAAGAATCAATAATTGTGAAACTATGTAACTCTACCTTTCAAAATTCGTTCCGGCAATTGCCGAAAATAATAAATAAGCATGTCACTCCTGAATTTATCACCATAAAATTTCATGTTGTAAAATAATTGGGTTTTTTTTCTATTCATGAAGTGACTGAATTTCTAAAAAGTTTTTAAGAATGAACCCTGCAGGTAAGGCTTGATGACTGAACCATGTTCATAATTAGCATATGTTTCCTAAATTTTAAACGTTCAAATTTTGTGATTTTTAGTAACATTACAAATTAAAATATGGTAGATTGAAACTTTAATCTAATTGTTCTAAAATCTGTATCTGTATTCGTAAAAAAGATGAGATTTTCTAGACATGCAAAAAAATCAGGAATGTCAGGACAAAAAGCTAAAAATTCAAGACAAAATATTTTTATCAGAGAAATTGGGAATATCAGGACAACTGTGAACTCTGGGTTAGGGTAAGAGGCTAATACCTTTATTTAAAGTAAGATAAAAAATAAAACAATCATAAAGCTTGAAAAAGAAGAGAGAAAAGTTAATTTACTTAAATTTTTATTATTATTTATTATTAATATTATTTATTATTAATATTATCTATTATTATTACTATTATGAGAAATGTCCAAAGCTATATTATATAGCTAAGTTCTAAGTTTTCAATAAAAGTTTTTTTTCTTTTGGCTCTTTTTTTATGTCAAACGTAAGTTAGAAAACTGCAATACATTTCAAAAAATGAATAAGCAATACAATTATAGAAGTTTGAGCTTAAAATATATTGTTAACAATCAAGTCAGGATAAAAAAAGAAACACTGTGTTCCTTTAAAGTTACTTTAGAATTTATAGATGAAGACAACTTTTTTTATAATGCATAATAGTTTGAATAAGCTTCTAGGAAACAAATTTCTAGGTATCTTCAGAAAGAAATTTTTTAAATATAAATTTCTTATTCCAACAAAAAACAAATTACTTATTACACTAACTTTCAACAATAAATTCAAAGCTTTGTTCATAACTTTTTAAGATGTTTTTTACAAGAAAGTTTTACCAACAAATTCCTGATTTTCTAGAAACACTGCATTAATTCTATTAAATTTAAAATGATATCAAAACAACTATTTTAATGACATAGAATGAAACTTTAATGTATCATATAATTAAAACAACTTTACCACTTCATTTTCAACAGTCTCATTACTTTTTGTTTTCCTTTGAATAACATGAACAGCTTGTAGCTCAGTGCACAAGAAATCTGTAAACAAAACAGTAGGGTGATTAAAATTAAGAAATTCTTCATACATATTAAAATTACCTTGACTGGCAACTAAATGTTGTCAAAAAAATTGAATACCTAATAAAACTTTTCTGCTATCAGAATCTTGTAGTCGGTCACTGATATTACCACTTATTAATGATTTATAAGGACATTCTAAAAAACAAAAGGTGTATAATTAGCCTTAAATAATAAAATTTAAACACAAAGTCATGGAATTAAGAGTCATCAGTTTCCTATTCAAGCTTCTTAGCTATTTAAAAAATATATACTTACTACAATGACAGAGAAAAGACCAACCAGTAAGTAATTAAAAAAATATGACAAGTTCTTATTAATTTAAAATATATAATTTGAAATGGAAGGAAAAGTTTGAAATTTTTGCATAACATAGCAAAAAATAATGAAGGCTCTACATGCATCATTCATTTTCCCACATAATATGTAAATTAAATCCCGAACTTTTAAAGAATTAGTTTTAGTATCCTTTCTAACTATTCTGATACATAAATATTCTGCAAAATGTTTCCTATATTGATTTAATATTTAAGATTTTTATAATTAAGATATTCATTTCTCTTTTTTCTTTTCCAAAATTTTTGAGCAAAAATTTCGCTACATTTATATTAACTTAAGTAAAATAAACTCATTGTGAATAAAAAAAATTCAATGTACATTAATGTAAAATTCAATTCAATAGTACATTAGAAAAATCATTAAGCCGAATTTCTAAAGAATAAATAAAAATTACACTTACGTAACTCTTTTAAGAATGAACTAACTTCCAAAAGAAATGAATCGCAATCTTCTAAATCTGAAACAATTCAAACAAATAAATTATTATTTGTTATACACATTAAATACCACAAATCAAAAGTGTATAAGTGAACCCCCAAAATTTTACAAAAATCGGTAAAAAAGACGGACATTTGTTGATCATGAAATATCGATGAATTATAAAAAATGATATAGAAATGAACAAAAATTTACCCATTTAAAAACAATTTTTAATATATTATATTCAATTTATTTTACTATTTTTTAATTTTCTTTCATCATATTTTCTTCACTTAAAAATGTTTTTTTTTTCTTCTTTGAAACAATACTTTAAATTACACCCAGAAAAAAATTATGAATAAGGGAATTTAAGATAATTTATTCAAGAATAGTTAAAAAAATATATAAAACAATGAAAACTTTGATAAAGATTGCAAAACATTATCTGTGTTGGAATCAATAAAATTTTCAGTGTTGTCACACGGATTCAACTCTACTTCATCCTCATCTACTGAATCCTACAAAGAATTCAAAATTCCACATTTTTTAAAGATTTTAAAATATTATTTGAATCTACATTTTGCCACACGTTCATTATCATTTGACACGTGACGTCCTTGAGAGTAGTACATGCAAAGCATTTATTAATGCAGCTTTAAAAGGATGCCTCATAGCATCTTTGAGTGCAAATGTATCATATCGAAGAGAACAATGTGAAATTAATGTCATCTCTAATCTGTTTTTATGTAATTTCTAAAATTTTCTACTGATGTTTTAACCTAATCCTGAAGAAAACAAGGAATATAGGTTAAAATGCAAAACCAAAATTTCAAATATCACATATAGTACCCCAAAAAACTTGACTTTTAGCTTGTATTTGCCATTTTTAAACCATAAAACACAAAGAAATATGTGAGAATAAGTATCTCATATGCTTCAAATGACATAACGTTCTCAACATAATAGCTCTCTTGTAGAGGTAATCCTGTAGTGGACTGATCGTTAAGACCCCAGGAGAATACCGATGTCGAGCATAACTGGTTGCGGTCAGTAAGCAGATGTAAAATCATTACAAATAAAAATACTGATAATAGTGTGTATTAACTAGTAACTTATACAGAATTTACAAGAGGAAATATTACTGAAATTTTCCATAACCAAACCATAATATTCTGCTCAATCTGCAATACTTCCAGACACTCTATCTTTCAACTATTGCTAGTTTTTACCAATGTCAGCAGATATTAAATTCTTATAAAGACCTGTGGCAGAATTTTCTTGGGCTTTCTGCAACAGACCTCTCTAGCACTAATGCAAGATGCTTTTAATAACAAATATACATGTTGCTAACTAAATTGAAAGTAACAAAAACTTTGTGTTTACAAAAAAATAAATAAAATAAAATAAAAATTATTTGAATAAAACAAAATTGTATTTAATTTTTAAATGAATTTCTAATATTTTTCTATTCTAATGTCATGGGAGAAATTCTCACATTTTATTAAACAAGAAAACACACTAATTATTTCCTTTTTCACTTTTTATCATCATCACATCAATAAAAAAATTTTTTTAATTGTGTAATCCGTAGCAGTGACTACCGAAAAAAAGATTGACGGCGAAATCACACACAAATTAAATATACCACATGGATTAACGAGAATATCGGCCCAAAATGAGTGTGTCAAAGAATGATTTCTGGAGAAAAAAAATTCTTTCAACATTTCCGCAGAAAAGAAATTTTTTACTTCATTAATCTATTTTTTTACTCTTCTTAAATATGAATAGAAAAATTACAAACATTTCTTTCCTCTTCAATGTGCGAAAAAGCGTCCTTTAAATATAATTTTAGCGATAAAAAATTTATGCAGAAAACCAAAATTCTTTACTATATCTGAAAAACAAAAATTCTTTACTTCCTAAAATAAAATTATTTCTGCAAGAACTCTGTAATATTCTGCAACAATGTCGCCGTAAGTCAGGCACGGGGTTATAAAGAATGCAAAAAATTTATCGATGCAGAGATTGTCTATTAAGCACCTGCACCTATTCTTTTAACAAGCACTTTAAAAGCTGAAGCTAGGTACTTAATATGTTATAATTTTGTACAGTAAAATCCAAAAAAATTTGTTTTTGTTTAAAGAAAAAAACTTTTTAAAACACTGCAGTACACCTAATTAAGCTGATAGCAGACACTTTGTAGTGCAGCAGTAGTGCTCTATATTACAATCACATCAGCAGCTTATTTTTCTACTCAGATTATATACATATATATATATCGCTGCCTACTCTTCCGATTTTTTCGGAAGATTTTATTTTTAGATATAAAATGGTAGCAAAGTTTATGTTTCTCTATTTAAATATTGGCTTGATAAATATAATTTTCACTATATATATATATAAATTTTAAAAATCTTACAAATTTTCCAAACTGCCCATATACTTAAAAATCTGGAAAAAAAATAGTTTAGAGAGAAAATTTTTTTTTTTTTAAGAACAAAAAAAATATTTTTCTTTATTGATTTTTAAAAGTTTTAGTTTTCTGGCAACAGACTTTTACGACGTTAGAATTTATTCAATCCTTTGAAGTATTGTTGCTTAAAATTTGAATTAAAGAATAATAATTCAATAATATTAAGATGCAAATTACCTGTTATAGAATTGACACAGGATTCCAAACCTAAAAGAGTCTGTAATTCTTTTGAAAACCATTCTACAAGCTGAGTGAACTCAACTGATTTTGGTCCTGCTTCTATGATGGTACTTAATTTGGAGTCTTTTAAATCTTTTTTAGAATACCTACATAGATATAAAAGCAATATAATTATCATAAAAATGGTAAGAAAAAAGCATTACAGATTTTGATACACACACTTTGAATTTCAGACCACAGAGGTCAAAGCCCAAAATTATTATTGTGAAGAACTGAAGATTGTATCTCAGGTTGCAGCTTGAAAATCACACAATTTCAGAATGATGAGTGCCAGCTACCTTAATGCATAGTCTGATATGCATTACTAATCAGTCTTATCTACCATGTGGTTGGGCTTAAAAAAACCATTGAGTCTTAACATTACTAATTCAGCCAACAACTAACAGTAGGATGAGTCCTTTTTTTAATTATGATTTGCGAAATTTGGCACAACCTTGGAAGACTGAATAAGAAATTAATGCAATCTTGCACAGACTATGCCGCATTAAACTGAAAACATAAAGAATTGTTAACCAAAGTATAACCCAATAAGAAACTAAGTATACAACTAATTAAATCACTTCCTGATTCTCAAACATCAAAATACTTTATTTATCAACTGATTTAAGCACAAGTAATAAAACAGATACAAAAAGTTACTGAACTATTACTTAATCATTTGCAGAAAAAAAATTAAAGAATGACACTTTAAGACTGATACAACAATTACACTTAAATAGAGAAGGTCAAATGCACCAAAAACTGTAGAGTAGATGCAAAATTTCTTTTTGGTGTTTTCTAGTACATGTAACTCTTTTGTAAGATAAAGAAATAAGTGTATAATCAAATTTAACCTCTGGCAGAATTTTTTCGAGCTACCTGCAACATAACTCTCTAGCACTAATATCTTTCTGCAAGATACTTTTAATAATAACCATCATATATGTTATTAATTTAAAATAACAAAAGTGCTGTGTTTACAAAAAAAAAACATTTATAATTTTTTAAATTAAACACATAATAATTTTTTATTCTAATATTAGGGGTGATATTCTCGCATTTTGCTGGGGGTAAAAAAGCACTAATTATTTTTTTCTTCGCATTTTGTAAATAATCACCACAATAAAAAAAAAATGTAAAATCATGAAATCCATAGTAGTAATTGTTGAAAAAAAAGATTGATGATGAAATCAAGCGAATCGGACTCCTCAAATGCGAGTTTCTTTTCGAGATTAGGTTGTTGTAATAAATATCGTATAAAAATATTGGATTTAAGAACTATCAAAAAATCAATAGCAATAACAGCCAAAAAATAGATAGAATCACTGCCTTAAAAAGTAAATACTCAAATGCACAATTCGAATTTTCCATATTGTTTGAAATGCATTAGGATATTTAAAAACCACATGAAAATCAACATCAATAAATGCCGAAAATACAATCGTAACATTATGTCAATTTACGATACGATCGACGTAAATTGAGGAAGCCAAAAAGTTATTATCTAAATGCATGATTCAAATACTACTTGTAAATTTCTGTAGAAAAGAAAACTAAAATTGTTTACTTTTCAATAAAAAAATCTTTCTGCAAGAGCTCCGTAACATTCAGCGACAATGTCGATGCAATTCTGCCACAGGGCAGATTTATATCAAGTAATATACCAAACTTTAAAAGATGTTTTTTTTGCATTAATAATCAAAGGATAAAATGAAAATAATTTTGCTAACCAAATTAAATTGCTGTGTTTCCTTGATACAAGTGTTTCATTAGTTTCAATTAAAAACTTACATTTCAAATATAATCCTTTCCTTACTTTGATTTGTTTATTTTCTTGTCCAGTGTAGCAATAAAAAGGATCCTTATAAATGCACAAATTAATATATAAATAAAAAGGTAGACTACTTTTTACCTCTTTTTTCTAGGTTTCATTTTTTCTTCTTCTAAGGAAAAAAAATTAAACATCTTTTAAAGTGCAAAATTTGTTTTATTTAATGCACAATTTTGTAATTTTGAAATATTCAAAATGTTTTAATTGATTTACATTATTTTAAATAAGGACATTACCACAACTAATTAAGCAACATTGTCAATAATATTTTGGTGAAAATAAATTAGGATACTTTAGGTATTCCATAAGCTTGTGTTGAATTTGAAAAGTTCTTCATGAGAAATGTTCAAAGATTTAAAACTTCTCTTAAATTTTTCTACATAATAAACGCATATATTAATGGCTCTTGACAAAAAATTAAATAATGTTTTGAATTAATCAACTTAAAGAAAATAATTAAAACAAAAGAATAAAATACTTCAGAAATATAGTCGAACCTCAATATCACAAATATTGCTTTATTTTTTGATATCATGAAAACATCAGAATTCCTGACAGATTTCCTATACAGGCAATACAAAAACCTTATTCGGAATAGACTGACCCTTGGTTTTAAAAATATTTTTAATCACCAAAGGAACTTTTTTATTTTCTTGAAATATTAGGCATTGATACCTTCGCATTGGTAACAGCACCAAAATAATCTCAAAGATTTGGCAACATGTGAGAAACTAAGAAATACATCACAGAAGGGAGCCAACTTCACAACAAACAACCACAATTTCAAACCACAACATTCTTTTTTTTTTTTCTAAATAAAAAGCAGTTTGGTATATCAACGATTTCAGTTGGTGTGAACAGGTATCGATATAGAAATATCTCCTAAGTATAAGTATTTTTGATATATATACATACTATAAAGCTCTTAAAGAGGATATTTCCGTATAATGATCTGTCACGCCAACTACAATAGCCAAGTTGCCAAATGGATTTTAAGCTTGCAAAAGTTTTGTGTTAAAGGAAACATGTAGAGGTTTGCCAAGGGTAAGAGCGTATGAAAATGACTGGGTGAGGTTTCGCCCTCTATTTTTCGCTCCCGTGATATTCCCGAGCTAAAGTGTTCAGTAGCAACGCACCAATAAGAATAAAACTAATTCATTTCGTTTGCCCAGAAAACATTTTATTTCTCATTTTACACACCAGATGGCAGTGCCAGGATATTTGAAAGATAATTGTATATAGTTAGTTTATTTTAAACTAGATGTCAGCACTAATCAAATACGTGTACAAAAAAAATAGGCACTTTTATGATCGTTTTCTTGAAAATTAACCAATCATTAAAGGAGTAAAGTTATATTCATCCAGTTGGTCCCCTGCTGTGAAGTTAATACTTTTTTTAGTTAGTCATGGGTCGCTTCCCACGGGAAACATGGACTTGGAGTTTATTTTGGGCAGATCACGATACGGAAATCTTCTTCTTTTAAAAATCAAGCACAGTCATTAGTTTACAGATTAAATTTCGGTATCGTTACCAGTTCAAGCCAGCTATCATCATAGATAATAAAACATTTTAAGCGGCAAAATTATAATAACCAAACAAATACAACACAATAGAATAGAATATCTACCGAAGATCATCTAAAGAATCTAAGATATCAAACTCCATGTTTTATTATCTTCTTAACAAAATATCACCTTAAAACCTGGAAAAATAGTGGGTAAAATTAATACGAATTTTTTCTTTAAAAAAACTAAAAACATACAAAATTTTAAATAAAAAGCAGTATTTTCACTTTCAAATGCATAAAGAAAATGTAAATAAATATCTCATTGCATCATGATCAGAAAAAAGAAAACAGTTTTTTCCAAGTTTCCAGTTGAAACGGTTTACTCGGTATTTCTTGTTCTCGATCGTAAGGATCTGAAACTTCATTTACTTAGAGCTGTATAACTGAAACACAAAAGTTTGAAACAGTTTAAAACATTTAAAGCACTATGCAGTGGGAACGTTTTCTACCTATTATTTTTGTGCATCTAAAGTCGAATTTGTTTTCAATTTATTTAATATATATTTTTAAGAAAGACACCGGTAGCGCTACAAACGAGGTAGGTACTTTATTTGCGTTGCACTGGAGCTGCACAATGGTAAATGCGACGGATCATCCCCGGGGATGATCCGAAGATATGACATCGCAATTTTGATCCTCTGCAGAGGGGACAGCTCCACTGCTTTGGTAGCCCGATGACCTGCGAGGGAAGAGCTACAAATGAATCAAAAAAATAAAATACAAAAGAAATCAATCTTGCCAAAATAGTTCCGAAAAGCTTCGGTCATTCATCGTTAATAAAAAGAAGAGGTTTTGTTTTCGCGGAATTTTAGCACGGCATTTTTAACGTGTGTAATTAGAGACAAGGATCTGCTTAGTTTCTTCATTTAAAAAATAAGTAAATAATAATTTGAGCTAAATATATATCTTACCAAAAATTTACCTTTATTTTACTAAGTCAAAAGAATTTCTGTTTCAGTTAATAAAAGGAAAACCAAGTTATATCAAATCGTGACAACTGACCTAGAGTTCAGGGGTTCGAAATCTTGTGTCACGGTGGGGCATTTATTCAGTTCTTTTTTTTATAATATATTTCAAACTTATAATTCACCCATTTTACATTTATTTATTTCGTCATGCTTTTTATTAACTTCAAATTTACTTATCTATATTTTTTATACTTTAAATTTATTTTGTTATGAGTTTAAATATGTGTTTAAATACATATTTTTAATTCAAATTCTTATATAAATATTTTTATACTGAAAAGTTTTAAATCATTAGGAAGCGTTGACCCCTTCTCTCACCTCGTTCCAACCACTTTAACTGCTTCTCATCAATCATTGTTGTTTCTTACAAATTGATGTCCACAAAAACAAAGAACATTTTGTTTATAAAATCTATAATTATAGTGATTTTATTTAAAAACATCTTGCTATATATAACGAAATGAAAAATGATTCAGATTCGAAAAGGAACAAACTCTAAATGACCTATATATATAT